CACACAAATTCCTCCCCTCTGCATGTGATTCAATTACCTTACACAATGGGTACTGTCATTTAGCACAAGCAGAGAAATACAATTTTTCCACATTATTCATAACTTGAAAAGTATGCATCACATTCACATAAAATTCTTACATTTTCAGAATCAGCATACTCCAAATACAAACATACGTCAAAATCATACAAATTGGTCCAGTGGTTCAAAAGATAGATCGTAGTCCTTTGTGACCACAGGAAGCATGGCTTTTCTGCCCAAAACCAGTTCCACAGAGTCTTCTATCCTGGAGATATTAAGTAATCCAATTATCTCCAAAGACAGTGGCAAAACTCCATTGAACACATGGCAGCAAAAAGACAGTAAAATACAATAAAATACACAAGGTTACATTTATGACATAAAATACAGACATGCAACATATGCCCAGATAGCTTAGGTCTAAGCGCACATTATTACTGAATGACGCTCAGAGCACACACATACAGTTCAATTGCCATGGAGCCAAAGTCTTTCCCATAGTCTTTCATTATACGAATGGGCTCCATGGCATAGCTATCTGGGGTATCAATGCTCAAACAGGGCAAGCACCAAATGACCCGGCTTTCTTGTCTTTGCAGGGGGAAATCAAGCCTTTTAACATGGGGCCATAATCCCAAGGCAACAGGCGAGCAACCCGGCTTCTCCAATTCAATGTGGCGAGATTGGTCTCGTCACAGGTCTGAATGCCCACGCCCTTCCCTGCTGGATAAGGTGGCTCAGACCCCCGAATTTGACAGGGTTATGACAACCTTCATGATGCGCAGTGGAAGAGACCCTCGCCGAGGGGTAGAGAAAGGCCTATGGGGCGCTCAGGATAACCTGCTGGATTCTGTAGGCCCCCTGGCTCGTATTATGTACCTGGCAGATGACGCCTACGCCAAAGCCGACTCCTTCTCTGCCGAGGACATCAGGGAATGGGCACATGATGTTCGTGAGTGGGCGCAACGGTGCTTTTGTTTCATTGGAAACACTAATGTTACGCTCTCTTCGGAGAGCTTAGCACAAAGGAGATTGGGCCCCAGGCACAAGGGAAACTATTTAGTGAATCGTTCCTCAAGGAACTTAACAAACACGTGAACGTGTTCATCTCACTTAATAAAGCGCAGTCCTCAATGCGCAGAGTCTTCAGAAGCAACCCTACCAGAGGGGTTTTTGGAAGGGCTGGCCGGCAACAGGGCCGTGCCGCCAGCGATTTTGGCCTTCAGGCCCCCGTACCCAACTGACACCGTTTTACCCAACAAGAGACTACCGGCAGCAACCCTTTTCCAGAGGCTCGGACAGAGGCCGTGGACCCCGCGGACGCGGACGTTCCCGCTTTGCTACAGTTAAGCACCCGTATTCCTCCATTGTTACCATGCGTATTTCCCTTTCTTTCCAGAATTGGGCCGCCCTGTGTTCAGACACATGGATCCTACAAACAGTTCAGGGATATATCATAGACCTAGTGGGGACCCCCTTTCAGGCACAGCCCCCTCGCCCCATCCACATGTCGTCTTCCGACCATCATCTCGTCAACGCGGAACTAGGCGAGCTTCGAGACAAAGGGGCTATCCAGCCGGCCCAAGACGGGGGAGGTTACTTCAACAATATCTTCCTGGTTCGGAAAAAGACGGGAGAATACCGCCCTGTCATCAACCTTAGCGCCCTCAACGCGTACGTGGTGTACCGCCACTTCAAGATGGAAGGCATCCACCTCCTGCGAGACCTTCTTCGGAGCAACGACTGGTTCACCAGGCTTGATCTAAAAGATGCATACCTGTCAGTCCCGGTGCACCCGGACTGTCGAGCACTCCTAAGTTTCCTCTGGCACGGACGCCCTTGGCAATTCACCGGCTCAGCTCAGCCCCATGGTGTTTCACCAAGCTCCTAAAACCAGTGGTGGCCCACCTGAAATCCAGGGGCATCCGATGCATTATCTACTTAGACGACCTCCTCGTCTTCTGCTCCGATGAACACAGACTGAGTCAATACACTCATCTCGCAGTAACCCTACTGGAATCTCTGGGCTTTGTGGTGAACCAACAGAAATCGGAGCTGACCCCTGCCCAGACGATACAATTCCTGGGCTTCGAGATCGACTCGACAACATGCACTCTGAGACTACCAGCCTCAAAGATCTTGGCCATTCGCAAGGAGATTCGCAGAGTTCTCCATCTCGATTCCATCCCACTACGCAACCTGGCCAGGATTGTAGGATTCCTCTCCGCTTCCATTCAAGCCATATTTCCGGGTCCCCTTCACTACAGAGCCATGCAACGTCTCAAGGCGAAATACCTACGCCGCAGACCTACGTACGACCAACCCGTCCCTGTGACGATGGAGGTTCGCGAAGAACGGCAGGGCCATATTCGGAGATACCCCAGACTTCATACTGGAGTCAGATGCCAGCTTGTGGGGATGGGGTGCCACCAATGGAACCATCTCCACGGGGGGGAACATGGACGGCACAGGAGCTCTCCATGCACATCAATTGCCTCGAACTCCTGGCGGGATCCTTCGTGATCCGCAGCCTGGCCCGGGAAAGATTCAACTCCTGCATCCTCCTACGCATGGACAATGTCTCCGCAGTCCGGTATATCAACCGCCTAGGAGGTGCACGCTCATGCCTGCTGTCGGATATCACGAGGGACATCTTCGACTATTGCCTACCTCGCAACATCGCACTTCAGGCAGAATACCTACCCGGAGAAATCAACCTCACGGCCGACTGGTTCTCTCACCACTGGAGAGACGTCAGCGACTGGAAGCTAAACACGAGAATCTTCAGGGCCCTGGCAGCCCGGAGGGGTCCTTTTCACCTGGATGTGTTCGCCTCTCGCAACAATCACCAGACCCCGGAGTTCTTCAGCTGGCTCCCGGACCCGGAGAGCAAGGCGACAAACGCATTTCTCCAACAATGGCCGACGACCGGGGCCTACGCCTTTCCCCCATTCTACATGATTGCGAGAACATTACACCAGATGCGGACGCAACAGGTCACACTGGTTCTCATAACACCCTTGTGGCAGAGCCAACCATGGTTCTCGGACCTCCTGGCCTCCTCCTGCAAGGACCCTCTACTCCTACCATCCTTTCCGGACCTGCTCACGGATCCCAAAGGGTATCTTCACCCACTTCTCCTGGAAGACCGTCTACCCCTGGTGGCTTGGTCTCTTTCCGGGGTTCCTGGCAAGTAAGCGGACTATCGCAGGCTGCTAGGGACCTCTTATGGGATTCCTGGGCCCCCGGAACTAGACGCTGTTCCTTTCAGCTTGGGCCTCCTGGTCTACTTGGTGCGTGGAATGGGACTCCGATCCATTTACAGCACCTATTCCCATGATTCTTAATTTCCTTTCCTCTTTGCTTTCGTCGGGCCGCTCCTACAGTTCTGTCAACGTCGTTCGCTCCACGATTTCGGCGGCCCACACCCCGTTGGGGATCTCCCGGTCGGCAAAGACCCTCTGGTCTGCCGCCTACTCCGTGGTATGCGGCTCTGCCGCCCCCCGGCCCCCAGGTACCCTCATCTATGGGATGTTGGACTGGTTCTCCGTTTTTTCAGGGATTGGCTTCCGAATGACCGCCTCTCCTTATGCCAATTATCCGCTAAGTGCGCCTTTCTTCTCTGTCTAGTGTCCTTTCGACGGGTTTTGGACGTTCGTGCCTTCGACGTTGACGCCTTCGAGGTGGCCCCTGAAGGGGTCACATTCCACATTTCCCGTCGCACTAAGTTGGGTTCAACTTCGGTCTTTTACCCCTTTTTTCCCGATGACCCGCAGCTCTGTGTCGTCTCCACCCTTCGCAGGTATGTTTCAGTTACCTTCTCACTCCGTAACTCTACGTCGGGTCAACTCCTCGTAGTCTCCTCACGCTCCAGTCTCGGTCACCACGCTGGCCCGATGGATTCGCTGGATCCTCTCCCTCGCCGGTATAGACCCCGCTTTCGGAGCCCAGTCCGTTCGCGGAGCGGCGGCTTCATCAGCCTTTCTAGCAGGGGCGTCCCTGTCGGACATTCTCCGAGCGGCGGACTGGTCTAGGGAATCTACTTTCCGTACCTTTTATTTTCGCACTCCCCCTTCTGCGAGGACATCTCTACTTCAGCGTTAAAATTGCAAAATAGGAAGCCTCCTGTCATGTTATAAAATTGAAGATTATGCTAGCTTTAGTGTATTAATAATCTTAATTTTAATAAGGACAGGAGGCGAGTATTTTCCCTCCCTTCTGTTTCCCTGCCCTGACTCCTCGGGGAGTGGATCTCAAGGTGACGGATGTTTTGTTAGAATTTAGTAGTCTCTACTGTTATTGGTGTATATTCGGCTTCTCGCCCATCTCTCACCCTAGAATCGCCGCCTTAGGCGGCCAGAAATTATGTTGTACCACATGCTTACACCTAACATGTACTTAAACCTTTTGCCTTTAGCACTCTGTATGTATTTATTTATCTTAAAGCACTCTGATAAGGCTCACCTGCGTGAACAGTTACGGTTCAGTACCTAACCTATTTTATACTCTCCTTTGAGTGTAATCCTCTTCAGGACCTCCACTGGATGCTGGTTCGGTTAACCTCACGACTCCGCAAGATGGGATAAAGGCTTCATTTTGTCTTGCCTCCAGTCTCGTTTGCAAGGAGTCTCCTCAAGTTCTGCTCGCCAAAGACCACTGTTGCAGTTTTCGTTGGTTTTCTGGATGTTTTGAGCTCAGTCTGGACTTGGATGTCGCTTCAAGAAAGAGGAAGTGTACAGGCAGCATGACCCTTATATATACTATGCTGCACAGTGATTTACCTGTTACTCTTTATGGTTTTCTTTACTGCTGTGGAGTTTAGTAAAGAGAGCTAATGCAAAATACTCGCCTCCTGTCCTTATTAAAATTAAGATTATGCTACGCGGCGCGCGAGGGAGCTGAAGAGGAAGCACTGAGTGTTCCTTCGCGCGCGCGCCTGCCCGACCGGCCACCCGCCCAGGACCCCAGCACTCCAAAAGAGAAATTGTTCTCCTAGTGTCCCAAATGTTGCTAATCTTTGCTCCATATCATATATTTGATTCCCTCACTTCCACAGGTGCTGCAGTGTTACGAGGAGTGGGAAAGCAAAAGTTTGGTGCAGTTATAATCACAGTTGGATTTAATGGCATTGGTTTGCCAGATGGAATCGTATTAATGTTTGCTGGAAAGCTTGGTGTAATAGGATTGTGGTCTGGAATTGCTGCAGGTCTCATTGTTCAAGCCATCGCTTTTTTAGTATTTATTTTACATTTGAATTGGGACAAAGCACTTGATGAGGCTCAGGACCGAGCAGGACTGAAACCAACTTCCAAGAAAATGTACTTTGGTTCGACTACTCCAAAAATAGAAAGCAGATTTACTGACCCAGAAAAAAATGGCGGGTATTGTATCATTCCAGATGATGACTATGTTGAAATGTATACCCGTATGTCAGAGTGGGAAGAAGATTCCATAAAGGATACTCAAAACACTTTAGCACAGGAGAAAGATTCCATTACTGGGGCAAGAAATGTTGTTGGAGAAGTTCTTTCTACGAAGCAATTGATTGTTTGGCGTGGGATTGCTATGGTTTCAGCTGTGATTACACTGATTATCGGTATAATGGTAAAACTTCTGTGTGGCAGTGGATAAAGAATTGCAAACTAATTTTTAATATCATTACACTCTCAGAATAGGAATACCATTTTATGTATACATACACAGAGTGTCAACATCCGCTGCAGCACTTGACAATAGGAATATAAAATAACAAATGGCAAATAAATGAAGACAAATCGTAGATAAGCAGAATAAACAAAAAGGGCAGTAGCAGTTTCAGAGGCATGTGCACACGCTGGTTCTGTGTGTTGTCAAATAACAACATTTCCGTTTTTGTGCCTAGGCTTTACAAAATATGGAATGCTTTGCTGTTACTATCATAACAGGTAAAATCAAACACACAATATTCAGCGCAGTGGGATATATTAACCCTTTATAAACTTGTGTAAGAGAGCAGAAGCAGCCTTGCAGATCACATTGTAAATTGAATCTGCTTTTTTTGTATGCCACAAATAATAGTCATGGCAGTTATCATCATTTTATTTTATCTTTTTATTATACAAATAAACATACAGATTGTTCTGGTTTATGTACTTTTGAGGCATTGTGATTGTTTATCTAATAGGCAGCTACAATGTGAAGTGCCCTTATATTAAGAAAGGTCATTAATATAGTGCTCCACCAGGCTACCTATAGGGAGGAGGTTATGCCCACAGCAGTGCTTCAGATCAAAACTGCAGCATGTGCTTGTTTGCAGCTATGCTTTCATTGAGATCCCAGAGAGCACCAGTATGCTGTTCGTGGGTAGAGAAAAGTGGACATAAAGTGCATCTCTGGTCAATTTGACCAGTGCTTAATATAATACCCTCTTATCTATTACTGCTCCTTCAGTAGCCTGAACTACTAAATTGCTGTCTTCATGTACGGGCTACTCTGATTTAAAAGTATGCTTTGATATATCTTTTCATGTTGACAAACTGAAATAGAACATGTGCAACTTTTCTCATTACATTTGTTTAGGAATATCTAATTATCCTATCCTTCCTTTCTCCCACAGTAGAAATGTAAAAAACTCATCCACATGACTGGTCTTCACCAGGGCCGGCGCGTCCATAAGGCGGCACAGGCGGCCGCCTTAGGGCGCACCGGCTCTGGGGGCGCAAAATTCCAGTGACCGGCAGGAGGGAAGTGCTCCCTCCTGCCAGGTCACCTCCTGGATCCCCGGCGCGGCGTGCGGCTGAACTGGATGCCGAGGTGGCGAGGGAGCTCTGATCTCTCTGATCTGCTCCCTCGCAGGCTGTTTACTGATGACGTCATATTCCGGCTCCCGCGGCATCAGTAAACAGCCTGCGAGGGAGCAGATCAGAGAGATCAGAGCTCCCTCGCCACCTCGGCATCCAGTTCAGCCGCACGCCTCCCAGCAGCCCCACTGGACCACCAATGAGAGACCCACGCCAGCTCTCCAGGTAGGGAGGCTGGGTGGGAAATTTTAATTTAATTTAGATGATTAATTACTGTTAGTGTGTGTGTGCATGTGAGTGAGTGTGTCTGTCAGTCAGTGTGTGTGTGTGTGCATGTGTGTCTGTCAGTGTGTGAGTGTGTCTGTCAGTGTGTGAGTGAGTGTGTCTGTCAGAGTGTGTGTATGTGTGTCTGTCAGTGTGTGTGAGTGTGTGTGTGAGTGTCTGTCTGTCAGTCAGTGTGTGTGTGTATGTGTGTCTGTCAGTATGTGAGTGAGTGTGTCTGTCAGTGTGTGTGTGTGTGTGAGTGTCTGTCTGTCAGTCAGTGTGTGTGTGTATGTGTGTCTGTCAGTATGTGAGTGTGTATGTATGTGTGTGTGTGTGTATGTGTGTCTGTCAGTGTGTGTGTATGTATGTGTGTGTGTGTGGTTCTGTCAGTGTGTGTGAGTGAGTGTGTCTGTCAGTATGTGCGTGTGTGCATGTGAGTACATGTGTCTGTCAGTGTCTGTGAGTTTGTGTGTGTGTGTGTTTGTCAATGAGTCTGTCAGTGTTTGTGTGTCTGTCAATGAATGAGTGTCAGATAAGTGAGTCTGGCTGTCAGAGATGTCTGTGTGTTTGTCATTGAGTGTGTGTGACTGTCAGTGTTTCTACACCCCTGACTGTAGCATGGCCAAGCGGAGTGTACCGTGGTACAGGAACTTCTGTTTCCTGTATCTAGCAGGACTGACAGGAAAAGCTCACTGTACCGGGATTCGCTCCGCTCAGCCACGCTACAAGAAAGGTAGGAGGCACACCAGGAAGGGGAGGGGACCACTATGGGGGTGGCGCACCAAGGGACATGGAGAAGAGGGGAGAGATACCCTAAGGTACAGGAAAAGGAGGGAGGGGGGAGAGGAACACTAAGCGACAGGGAACAGAGGGGGGAGGGGAGAGGAACACTAAGGGACAGGGAAAGGAGGGGGGAAGGGAAAGGAACACTGAGGAACAGGGAAAGGAGGAGAGAAGGGAGAGGAACAGTAAGGGTCAGAGAAGGGAGGGGACCATTAAGGGACAGGGAGAGGGGCTGGATGTAAAAGAAACACACAGCGGGGCTTGAGAAGGATAGAGACACACAAAGGAGCTGGGAAGAATAAAAGACACAAAGAGGAGAGATAGGAGACACACAAAGGCAAAAATAGGAGATAAAATACACTAAAGGGAGTCAGATATTTAAAAGACGGGATAAGAAACACAAAAGGGAGGTTAAGAGGCACATGGGCGAATATGTTTTTGGGGGGGGGAGGAAAAATGCATCTTCGCCTATGTACCCAAAATTCTTTGCACCGGCCCTGGTCTTCACACGAATCATATGTCTTATTTATTTTAAGATTGCTTCTACTGAATCTTTTCCTTGATAACATGGTATTAAAAAGAAGTAAACATAAAAAAAAAAAAATTAAAAAAAAAATTAAGATTATTAGTACACTAAAGCTAGCATAATCTTCAATTGTCACCACTGAGGAGGCATTTTCACTTTCACCTGCCTTACAGTTTAAACTTGGATCAGCTTTCCAAAAACGGTTTGAAGGATTCAGTTACATAAACCCCAAATGGATTAAGCTATCAAACTTAACAGCAGCCACTTTCATCAAAGAAAAGAATAGGAAGAGAAAAAATAGAGAGGGCGAGATTGACCAAATTTCTGAAAGAATAACTGAATTGCTTTAGTTCGGCAAGAAAACAATAATCGGATTTTACCAAACGAGAAAGATAGACAGATAAAAAGTTAGGTTATGTTTTTTTTTTTAATTCTTTATTTTGAAAAGAGCATTGACAGATTTAATCACAGAAACAAACAAAAAAAAAAGCAAATTACCATTGTCATACATTCAGAATAGAAGCATTTTTTACTGGTTTGTTGACCCAGAAAGTAGTAGATGACCCCTCTATCCACTTACATTAAATTTGTCACAAACTGTGGAACTCTACTCTAGGACACAATAAAGATATGCCCTGTGGGAGATGGAAGCTAGAAGTAAAATGATAAAAGGGAATTGTAGGAGTGAAGGAAGAGAGGGGAACCCATCCCTGCGGTGGACCCCACCTTTTTTTTAAGTCATTGTAGGTCTTATCCAACTAAGCTGAAGTAAACTGTGCACTGTCATAATAAAGCTCCCATGGCTACCATACTTTTTCAAAACCCAAACAGCGTTATGGACCTAAGCTGTGTGTCCAACAGAAAATGATCTTTTATTTTCAGGATAATCTTAATGTCTACAGGGAATATCGTCACTCATCCCCCCTTGTGACAGCACCCTTCAAGAAGCTAAATTAACTTTACTGAACAATCGTAATTCACTAGGTATTAGTCCCTCCACTGGTTTTTCCAGCAGAAAGGACCACAGGTTAAAGCTGAAGGATCTGTGAAAAATGGCATTAAACATTCTAATTAACCTTTTCCAGTATAATTTTCCAGACATCTATTGTGGTTCTCTCTATATTATATTGTTGATCTTGGGTTGTGTACCATTGAAACATCATCGTATATGCTTGCTCCGTTGGGTGGCACATACAGAAGACTTCATAGCTGCATTCCAAATGCCCTCCCAGTCTACTCCCTCAAGTGTTTGACCCAGGCCCGACTTTTATCAACATATTTCAGAATAACCCATACACTAACTTAGTCACATACGTGGGCAGATAAAGTTGTCATAAGCCCCTTCTGCATCGTATCAGAGGTGCACATCTGCTCAAAACAGTTTAGTGGGGCCCCGCAGTAGCCCTCACCATCTCAGCTTGGGCAAAATTTCTCAACTGTAAATATTTGAGTAACTTGTTTAAGCTCATCAAACGTATTCAACTTGCTGTTTAGATATAGATGCCCATATCGCTGTAGACCCATGTGTTCCAGACCTCTGAAGTCTCTAGCCTTCATTCTTAGTTCAAAGGCTCTGTTCCTCAGAAATGGGGTAAGAGGTAACCGGACACTCATCAGGAAACACTTGATAGCATATGAGTCTCATCCTGGCGCTGAGTTCAGGCTAGCTGGGCAATTGGTGCACAAAAAGGGCCTGTCCACTCTAGCAACCCATATCTAAAATGTTTTGGCAGATCTACCTCCTTGATTAAGGATTCCAAGTTGACCCATCCATGTGAGTCTGGGGAGAAGTACCCAGTAACTATTTGTGCAATTTGAACAGTTGCATAATATGAGTACAAATGTTGGATCCCAATTATTTTTCTTGGGCCTATACAGTAATGTCCTAGCCACTCTATGCTTCCTTCAATATCAAATAAATCAATCTCATTGTAAGCCTGACTGTGTGGGTGGTCTCTCCCCTGTCTGGCAGCTGCGTTTTTTTGCCTACGTTTGCTGCTTATACTTAAAAAACCTACGCCACTTCAACACACCATGTAGTTTCTCTGATATGTCATACCTGTACAACCTGCCGTAATTATAAGGGCTGCCATGACAGTTTCATACCATGTACTTATGGTCTACATATATTTTTCTACTAATAAAAGTGCACTTTTTTTTCATATTTCCCATTTTCTCTGTGACTTATTTGAGGATTACCCATGTTTGTGTGGACTATTGTTTATCTTTAGGGACTTGTGGTAATATAGTTGCCATACCCATGCAAAATTAGTAATATATGTACCATTTTTAAAGAAAACATAAGTGAGCAGGCACAACACATTTCTTATGGGATTCATATTCAATTGTAGGTTATAACAGAATGGCACAATCATAAAAGAAAGCATGGCAACAAAGAAAAATTGAAATTACACATGTTTAAAAGTCTGCATACCCTTAGTTCCTAATACTGTGTATTGCCCCCTTTAGCATCAATGACAGTGTGCAGTCTTTTATAATAGTTGTCTATGAGGCCCCTAACTCTTGCAGGTGATATAGCTGCAGTCTTTGGTCGACTTGCATGAACCGCACGTTTAAGATCTTCCCAGAGTGGCTCCATAATATTAAGGTCAGGAGACTGTGATGGCCACTCCAGAACCTTCACCGTTTTCTGCTGTAACCACTGGAGGGTCAACTTAGCCTTGTGCTTAGGGTCATTGTCATGCTGGAAAGTCCAAGAGCATCCCATGAGCAGCCTTCATGCAGAAGAATGCAAATTGTCTGCCAGTATTTTCTGATTATGTGCTGCATTCACTTTGCTATTAATTCATTGTGTCTTTAGAGTTCATAAACCCCCAAACATCATTGAGCCACCACCATGCTTCACAGTGGGGATGTTATTCTTTTCACTGCAGGCCTTGTTGACCCATCTATAAAAATAGTGCTTATGATTGTGACCGTAAAGCTCTATTTTTGTCTCATCACTGCAAATTACAGTGTGCTAGAAGCTGTGAGGCATGTCAAGGTGTCGTCGGACATATTGTTAACAGGCTTTTTTGTGGCATTGGCGCAATAAAGGCTTCTTTCTGGCAACTCAACCATGCAGCT